CTTGTTACAAGTAATAGAAAAATGTTTTTTTGACTCAACTTATATATACCTAATCTTGCGGTATTCTTATAATTATAAGGACATTTTACTGTTTGAGTAAGCTTAGTCTTTTGCAAACTTGATGCAAGTTTGCTGAAAACCGAGGTCTTAATTGGTCTGGAGTAGCCATTAGTTGTAAAAGCTGAGAAGGAATTCACATATAGTCTGGTTACACCGGAGAAGATAAGTATAGAGAACGCGTGAATTAAGCTGGGGAAACGGAGGTAGGCCTGTGTGGTTAACCGGTTAACTCGTTATAAAACCGTTTTCCGGTTATTTTAGAATAATCGTTTATATTGCTATTCCGTAAAATTATTATAACCAGTCACTCAGTTATAAAAAGTTATTCGGTTTAAAAAACAATTTTTTACAAATAAATGTAAATTAATTGAAAACAACTGCATAAAAGATTATTCTCCTGTAACTGCGTCTGCATAAATAAAAATAATGCTTCTCTTTTTCCAAAGCGTGAAATTCGTGTCCTTGTTACTTGCCTGTATAATCTGTTCATCGGTTATTTTTCTAAAAATAAATGATCGGTTATTTTGTGTTAATGGGATATTCTGTTACAACAGGTTATTTACATATATAATCCAATAACCGGTAAGTTCAAAAAGTTCGAATAACCGGTTACCCTATAATTTCAAAATAATCGGAAAACCCTTTAACTGGTTACTTCGAAATAATCGAAAAAACGGTTAACCAGTCTTTTTATAATAACCTAATAAACGGTTAATCGGTTATTTCATATAACCGGTTATTTATCTGTAACCGGTGTACAGCTGTGCTGCGCAGGCGCGAATTCAACTTTTCCTACGTTTCTCTAGCTTAATTCAAGCGGTTCTCTACTGCACCCTCTCCGGTGTAACCATATAAGGCTAGCATCGAATAACGATCTATGTTACATTTGTAAGAAATTAATTAAAAAAACATATACACTTATTACTGATGAATACGTCTTAGTGATTTAAATGATTATTAAGTAACTTAGAAAAGATGAGATTCTTCACAATTTACTTCAACATTTTATAGTTATCCCATTATTTTTAAAATGTATAGCAAAGATTGTTATTCTGTGATACTCTTCTTATAAATATTTAAATTAAAATGAATTCAGCAAATATGAGCATGTTTTCTGCATTTGTATATTAAACCTGTCCAAAGTAGATACATTTATAAAAAGCTTCCCTTTTGTATATTAAAGTTGGACACATTTCTAACAATGTAGATATTAAAAATGTAATCTATTCACAAAAATTGCAAATCTAATACAGTATATTCTGCAGCATGGGGCCAAAGGCAGCAAATGTCAGTGAAAACAATTTGGCTGCTTTGGCCCCGTGTTTCTTACGAAACTATTTATTTCTAAGGCACAAAAGTGCCAATTGAAGATAACGCAGACAGTAGAAGTCATTCGCTTATTCGACCATGCGTTAATTTGAACCCTTGGTTGAAGAAATGAATGGCTTTACTTTCTGTCGTCTGTTCTCTAAAAGCGCCATTTTGTGTCTGTGGAGTAAACATTATTTTTATTATTAGCACATGACGGTGTACTAATGAAATCATAACTTGAGTTAAAACTTTCAACTATATTTAAATTGTATATTTGGTTCTCGAATTACTTACATTTCTTCTGAACTAAAAATCCAATATTTTACTTAAAATGTTTTTGTACTTAAAGTAGCATGTGCTATATTTATTACTTTAATAAATATACACCTATAAAATATTGCTGTTTTATTTTATATTATTATTATTATTATTATTATTATGTGATCACGAGGATATAAAATTGTGTAATTTGAAAATTTTCATTAATTAATTACATCAACAGAATTGATTATTTTGAATATAAACCTCTTAGCATTGGATATTCAGTGTATCCTATGGCTTTCATCCTGTCGGTTAAATGCAACCGGATATAAGCAACTAAAACGTCATTAGGACGACGAAATATCTCATGCTGAAAGGGATTAAGTACTAAAACTAAAATATTGTAAAAATTAGTTGTATTTTTAATATAGGATATGAAAATTACAATCAATTTCGTTTACTAATGATAAAAAATTTTGCTTCCATTCTTAAAGTATGTTTGTATTTAAAGATTTTGAAAAGGTGAAACAGACGAAAAATTTTAAAAATATTAGATAATAAAATAAAAAGAAAAACAACACCGATAAAAATAATTTATTAAATCAACTGATTTGTAGTTGAGTCAATCTCCCTGCGAATGTTTACACGACGAAAAATACTCTGAGATTGCCTCAAAGACTCTACGAAATTGCCAAGTTGTAGTTCGGTTAATTTCACGAGAACTTTGAACAAGAAGTACATTCGCAACAAATACTTTGTTTAATTGTTTAAACTGAGCAAATATATTCTTTGAGGTCATGTCTAAGTTTCAAGTGTGGCTTTTAGATTAATAAATTTCGTGACCCATCTCATTGTTTGAGTGAAATAAACATTTGGATAGAAGCTTCGGGAATTTTATAAGCAGATTGAAAAGTTGGTCTCTGTTATATTGGGTTAAACTTTATAAAAAATTATTTTTTTGAATTAAAAATAAGTGTAAATAACAACTTTTTCATCTGTTTATACCATTTTGCGAGATTCAAGACTATTTCATTTATTTCATTGAGACAAGAAATGAAACAAACAATTTGCGTGGCGTAGTGGAACTTGTACATGGGCTTGATAAATTTACAAATGTTCTTATCTTAAAGAGTTTGAATTGTAACAGCCAACTACTTAATTCTGTTAAACTCTAGACAAATAAATAAACATAATTTTTCATTTTCATTTTTTCATTTCTAAAGAACAATGTAAATTAAATTTTTCGCAAGTAGAACTTAAAAATTAAAACAATGTAATACATTAAGTTATCTTAAAACGAAAATATAAGAAAATGTTGTGTAAAGTAATCCACCGACAGTGATATTCGTTAAATTGTGAGAGCAAGCTCTCTTATGTATTAACTAAAGAATTATTATAGCTCTTGTGAGAGACACTGTAAGTACTATTACTTTTGTTAATAATTTTAAGAAAAATAATGATCGTTTATAAAAAAAATCTGTTTCAAGTTTTTGCCTATGAATCCATTTATCCTGTACCTAAATGTCTGTTTCCTAAAGATGTTTTTAGTACTAGAGGGGATTCGAATTTTAAAATTATTAATAAACTATTAATAACTAGACAATTTAGAAATTCATTCTGTATATATACAGAATGAATTTCTAAATTGTATACCGAACCAATCAAGAGAGTAAGTATTCAATTTATATATTTATTTCAATTTACCAATTTTTTTTAATAATATAATTAAAAATATAATTATTATATATTACGAGCTGTCGTACCTGTTTTCAACAGATAGAATATTGCATCTAAAGCCACTAGAATCTATTGGATATTTTTAAAAATTAAACATAAAAAAAATTTAATTGATTTTCTCGAAACATCTTAAAAAATTGTGGATTTTGCTTTGGTTTATTAACACCTCAATTTCAATTCGAGTGTTTCTCGAACTGTCTTTTCTAGAAAGGAAAAAAAACATTAAATAAAACCCACTTACCTTTTGTAATATATATTAATCTTGTGCATAATCATAGGTATAATAATTGAATGGTTTTTGGTTTTTTAAGATAAGTTCATTTTGATAAAGTTATTATACATAACATTAATATTAAGAACCACTAAAAAACATCAAATGTTTACATTTTAGTAATGAAAGAGGGTATAGCCGGATAAGTATATGGAAAAAGTGGTTAAGTTTAAAGAATTAATCAAATTATTTTGCAACTTGTTACTGGAGGGTTTTCGGGGTTGCTAAATACATATCTAAAGTTTGTATCAAAATAAAAAATTTTTTTTTAAAGTAAAATAGTTAAGAGAGTAAAATAAGAGAATAAATAAAGATGAGGCTCTTCAATAGAACAAAAAAAAAAATTTTTTTGGAAAATTTCAAAATAAAAAATTTTTGTAATATCATTGCTTGTCTTTTCAACTTTTTCGATATTTATCCGGCTATACTCTTTGTTTTAAGCTTAAAAATCATAAATATGAAGTTATAAAGAACTTAATATAATTCTTGTTTTGAAGTTTAAGCCAAAGAATCCAATTTTTCATTAAAAAATTTTGAAGACAATTTTTAAGTTTGTCAACATATAAAGAACTTAATGTTAAAAACTCATTACAACAATAAGTATAATGTGTCAGATTTCATACTTTTGTTTAAAGTTCTAAATTTTTGAACAACATATGAAAAGAAATCGCAAATATTGTTATCCATTTGGATAATAATTTCTTATGACATTTTCATTACAAAAATTTGTAGCTTCAAATAATTTTTTTGGGTTCTATAGAATTATGGAAATATGCATTTTCAAATTTCATGTAATCTAAATAAATAACAATATTTGCTCTTTCTTTTCAAAGTTGTTTCAAAAATTAACAAACTTTACACAAAAATATGAAATTTAGCATATTATACATTATACTTATTGTTATAATAATAATTCAACATCAATTTCTTTATAACTTCATATTTATGATTTTTATGCTTAAAAAATGTTTAATTATTAAAATCAAAACATATTTTTTGTTTTTAAGTGATTCTACACTGAAAATAATAATTTTTTTTCGGTAACGAATCCACTAGAAACAGAAATTGAGAGCCTGCATACAATAACAACCGCTGCGCTTGGTTGTAGGGGATAGTACCAGTCAGCTAGGTAGCAGTGAACGGCCCAGAGGCGCTCACTGCTGTCTGACTGGTATTATCCCCTACAACCAAGCGCAGCGGTTGTTATAGTATCCAGGCCCTCAATTTCATGTTTAACCTTAAATAAAAGAACATCTTCATTCAAAATTATGTTTAGTATAGCAGCAGGGCATTGACTAAGAACTAACGATCTGAAAAAAATATGAAAACTGTCAATGAAATTTCAGGTTTAATTTCATGTACAGAAAACTGGTTTATTATTGTTGTTATTATATCTGTGATTGTATTTTCCGTACAATTTTTTTAATAAATTTATTTTATAATTTCAAAAGTTATATTATGTCTATTAACATACCATTTTATGGTTACTTTGACATTAATAACATAAGTATCTACAAACTTTAGTTCATAAAACTAATTACAAAAAGCTTTGTATTTTTACATTTCCTTTTTTAATTTTTCTCATAGAAATATTTCGACTCTTTTATATAAAAAATTTAAAAATATCTTTTAAATGTACATTTTTAATATACAAGATAAAATAATATCGTTTATAATAAAATATCGTATTTGGTTTAAAGAAAGTATAGAACTGCTGGTTTAGTTCCTAAGGCAACTGGAATTTCACACAACCCATCAACATATGAATAAAAATTTCTTCAACTATTCAGTCAGTACATAATATGTTAACGACAACTGGCACGCTAGTTGCATATTTGTGATGTGACATTAAACTTCCGTAGAGTGTGTTTGAATGCGCACTTTCTTTTGCGAGCCATTTCTTGATAACGTTGGGCTATGTGTGGAAAATCCTGGATTGTGGATTCCTAATGGTTTAGGTTTCTTCAAAGAACTTCTAAGTGGCGAGGAGACACTGACCATACTTCCTGAAGTAGCAACAGATGCTATAGAACCATTGCCTGCAACGGATAAGTAAGGTGTCCTACTAGAATCAGTCATAGATATTGCTCCCCCTAAAAAAAGAATTTCTTGTAGACGTAGAAAGAATCTCATAATACACAATTATTCAAATCATAATTTCTGCTATAATCAAGACTTTTGCAGTTTTACTTATCAAAAATATTGGCAACATAGTGATTGTTTCCAGACATTAGATACTTTTAGGATATCTGTATACTTAAAATGTAAAAAGTAAGAAGTTTCTTATTCTGTATATTAATAGTAGATTTACCATTAGTTGGATGGTGATGTTCTCTATAACCAGGATTATTTATTGTTGTGCCTGGATCGCTTTGAACAGGTCTTAACTTTGTTGGGTCCCCTCCTCGACGAACATAAATCCCTTCATAAACAGAAGATACAAGGATGATGAAGCTCAAAGCGATGGAGGCTAACTAAAATAATAAAGGTAAGTACATTTATATAACAAATATGTACTGAAGTATCTAAATTTGTTAATCAAGTAAAGGATGAATTCCAAAGCAAAAATTTAGTTGTCTTGTTATAATCTGAAGTCGAAATATATTTCCCAATTATATGCAATTTCTTACAACTTAATCAGAGGTTTGTAATTTTTTAATTACTTCTGTTTTTATAAGTTCCCATAAAGCTTTTTTTTAGAAATTTATGAATACTGAAAATTTGAATACAATTGAGAATAATCCAGAGAAAAAACAAAAAACTCGAGCGCATTCGGTATCACCTCAAGACTATTGTGGAGTTGTATGTGGCTGACAATTATATTTAATGTTATAATAATTTAATTTAAAACAATTTGTTTTATTTACAAATATTACATGTATGTTAAGCAATTTTGAGTGTGGTTAGTACTTGGATGGGTGACCCTCTGTGAATTGCTACAGTTTCGGTATTTTTCGCTGATTGAGATATATCAAACGGGAGGTTTGATGCCGAGGTTATGTTTGTGCATTTGTGATGGCTATCCAAATGTACATTCATGACTCGACATCAATAAACCGGCTGTACTCGGGAAGTAGGTTTTCTGCAGTTTTCCTCTCCCCTGGCCAAATGTCCAGGCGAATGCGAGTACTCCTAACCTAAGTCGGCTGCAGCCGCAAAAGTAGGGACCCCAAGAGTTTGTGAGTTAGAGAAGTTTAGTAGTGATGTTGAGGAGATTGTAAAGGCCCGAAAGGGCATACAATGAAATTCTCCCTATAGTAAAAAACGATTTCTTCATATTTCCGAAGCTAGAGATATGAGAGGTGCAAAATAAGTATAAATTTTTTAGAAACAAAAGTGTCAAGGCAGTCTCCACCCTAAAAATAAATAAATAAACTATGTGATGTCTTCCACTTATTAAGTTTTCATAAAATTTAATTGTAAACAATCCAAGTGAAATAATTACTTATTAATTAATAACAGTTCTCAAGAATAAGTGGAAAATATCAACATATTGCCCAAGACTGAGTGGGCAATAACATTGCCAGGGCATATTATTGAATTTTTATGATTCTTGTTAAAAGAAAGTTGGACATGAATATTATATGTTGGTTAACATTGAAAAAATAGGACTCAGTCCAGTAAAAGTACATTAATTCATTTCCATCAAGCATCTTAGGGTGATGCGTATAGTGTATAGAGGGCCTTAGTTCCTAACTTCACTTTAAAGAGCCTTGAAACACAGGCGAAGATTATAAGGCGCGCTGCAGTGTACATAGTAGAGCAAATGGACTCAGTCCTCTACTTCGAAATTTTCACAATGAGGGAACGCAGGAGCGAAACCTGTCAAAATAAATGGCCGACGCGACGCGAGTGTTTCCTTTTATTCACTTCGTCAATTTTATATAAAGAAAACAATAACCAATCATTAAAAAAAAGAAAAATATGTTAAATGTGACGCGATCTGAAGAAAGGGACCTTAGAAGCAAAAAATTATAGGTTATGTTTGCAATTTTTTAAATGAAAATACAAAAAAAGGATCAACTGTCAATATAAATCATTAAAGTTTAAGTCTTCATTAAAACTAAAATATTTAATAAACACTGATTTTAATTCGAAATAAGTAAAAAGAAACTTTCAAACAAGAAAAAAGTAACTCTAACCCAACCTTAAAATGATTTGCTTCTAAGGTCCCTTTCTTCAGATCGCGTCACAAATGCACTCTTTATAAATATTCATATTCATTAATTCACAAGTTTTATTCTTCCCACATCTTCATACTTACAATTAACAACTAAATGCATCGGAAAATCTTACAATCATACGGGATTGAACACCTACCTAACCATACAAATCGCACGCTTTTACATTAAGCCTCTCGGCTACGCAATCGATGGGGAAAATTTCCTATTTAAGAAACATCCCTTACCAATGAAATAAATTAGATCATGCGTGGATTTTACTTTGTAATTAATGTAAGTATGGATGTCAACAATATTCATAATATTGAATAAATAATATTGTCAACTAGTTTAAATTTGATACGGTTATTAGAATTTAATAATAAATAAATAAAAAAACATTAATTTTTTCTTAACCTTTTTCAAGTTTGACAGTCCTCATGGTAAATTTGATTATTCTTTTTTTCCGTGTACAAAATAGTGAATTGTCCTTGAATGAAATGTATAATTAATTATTCTCAAAGCAATATTTCATAATTTAATTAACTTAACTGCACGGAGAGAAAAAAAAGTAAGCGGCTCTACCTGTCGGTAGAGCGGTTGCGTTAAATGCGAAACAGCCGTTCAACTTGAGGTTAAGCACGCTGCTTACTCTCGAGGGGAGAACGGTTCTCCTTTTTGGGAAAAGCGGGTACACTTTTTGGAAAGTAAGCGGCTCTATTTGTGTGGAGAAGAGAACCGATACTCCTCAAAAAGTATAACCGTTCGACGTTTGCGGCGCAACTGCTGCGCTTTATAAAGGGAAAACAGCGCTCTCTTGCCAAATCAAACGGCTCACTTTTTTTTCTCTCCGTGTGCACTGAATAATAATTCAGAGTAGTAAGAGTAAGTGAAACGGTAAGATAAGTGAACGAATATTACTGAGAGAGAGAGAGAGAGAGAGAGAGAGAGAGAGAGAGAGAGAGAGAGAGAGAGAGAGAGAGAGAGAGAGAGAGAGAGAGAGAGAGAGAGAGAATATGCAGCAATCGATAAATTTGACAAAAAAATTTTAAAAATAAAATTTTTTTGGAAACTTTCAACCCTTGCACATTTTTTAATTGTAGAAAAAGTTTAAAACTTACATAAGTGAGATCATTCAAGTCTCATCTTTAAGTTAAAACCAAAAGAGTTTAAAAATCTTATTCGGTTCGTAAGATATCATTGTAAACGTCCGAGCATTTTCAGCCAAAAACCGTTCAAAATTGACTAATTCAATGCATTTGTCAAAAAACATGCTTGGACGTTTACAATGATATCTTACGAACCGAATAAGATTTTTAAACTCTTCTGATCTTAAATTAAAGATGAGACTTGAATGATCACACTTATGTAAGTTCCAAATTTTTTCTCCAATTTTTAAAAAATGTGCAGGGGTTGAAAAAATTTCCAAAAAAATTTTATTTTTTAAATTTTTTTGTCAAATTTATCGATTGCTGCAAAATTTATATAAAGTATTAAAATTTTCAGTTATGTATCATTAATCGTAGAACTTAATAATCTTTCGAATGGTATATTTGTTAATTTTCTGACATTTGTATTTACAAAAAAATTGTGTTTTAAAGATTAGTATGTTTTTGGGCCGTGCACGTGCAGCCGTAACGATAATTCCCGACGGTAGTGTATCTATACTTTATGTGCACTGCGTTCATTTTTCGATAGAACTGGACTGAGTACTAGTTGTTCAATATTCGCTTCTATTATTGACTTGTGTTTTGTACACTGCCACGTTCTTTTAACAATTAGTACACGAGAAAGTCATTTCTCATTCTAATTTTTTATACTCTTATTCCCTCTTAGACTATTTAAACAGTCTTGTTTAAGCTGATCCCTATGTAGGATCCTACATAAGATCTTACATAGAATACTAACTATAAATTTATAAAAAATCCTAGAATTATTGTAAGAATCTACGTAGAAATCAATAAAAAAGCACATATATGGATTTGGCACAGGATTTTTTATGAGACTTGATATAGGAACGCGCATTCGTGTTACTGGATAAAAATATACGTTGATTCCAATATGATTACCTACATCTTTTCTGACATAATTTTGGTGTCAATTTCCTATGTCAATTTCCTTTGTCAATTTCCACCATACTTACCAATATAAAATCTTACAAAAATTCTTAGTTAAAATCTTACTTAATACACACTAAAAAAAAAGTTTTACTTTCAGCCTATTTTTGAGGCTGAATTTAAGATGTAAACGGAGTCAGCCCCGTTAAACAAGGACAGACTTATGTGAAATACATGGGCTGAATTTAAGGTGTAAACGGAGTCAGACTTTTTTTTTCCTGTGTAATTATTAAAAATTTGCCTATATAGAATCGTAGAAAAATTCCCACATAAAATCTTACTTAATTTTTAAAAATTTACCTATATAGAATCATACCAAACTTCCTACATAGAATCTTACTTACCCTATTAAAAATACCCACATGGGATCCTACATGGGATCTTACGTGGGTTCTTATACAAAAACCTGTATAAAATCCCAGATCCCACGTAAGAATCCACATGGGATCCCATGTAAAAGCACATGTATATTTGGGACACGATTTGAAACAGGAATTCATGTGGGAATTTGAGTTTGTGTATATCTACATAAAAATCCACATGAATACTACAGTTCATATACTTTCACCACCAGGTGGCGAGAGCGACTTCTCCCCCTGTTAACATGATTTTTTAACACTATATAACTGAGAGTTTATAGCTCAGAAGAAGTGTTTCAAATTATCGAATTTTTTTTCTTCCTGATGATTTGAAATGCTAATACAATTTATTATTTAATTTTTAATTAAATAATTTTTAATCCTTTGAAAATTCTCACAATGGATCCCTAATGTAATCACATATTAAATCTTTTGTGAAATCCTATATAAAATCTTATATGCACGGAGAGACTTTTAGTTAGAAAAATTACTTTATTGTATTTCGATATTTCTAATAAAACGTAAGAATTTAGGGATAATCGAGGTACGATGATGATAGTTCTTATTATAATAATATAAGTAGTGTTATTTTTTTTATCTACTATTGTAATTTTTAGGGAACAGAAGTTAGTATAAAAGTTTAGAAAGAATATTATTTGATGTTAAGACAATTGCAAATACGAGAATATGGAACTTATTTATAATACATTCTGATATTTTTATTTGTAAACCCAATATTTTGAATACTATTGAATGTAAAAAAATTTTAGATACTGTATTATTTTCAATACTAACACGCTCTGAAATGGTAAGCAGTTTGAATTTTTACAAAATCTTATTAGAATATTTTCACGAAGGTTTCCGAACAGTTCCGTCCACAACCGAAGACCAGTTAATGTTAGGCGAACACTCAGCAAACAACCGAGCGTCATCATCGTCTTGAAAGTATTTTGTTAAAAACGTTTCAAAAGTTATTAGTGATTAAACAATTGAATTGTGTAATAATATTATAATAAATCATGTATATATATATTTATATACATATGTATTATATACGTATACACGTGCCTAGTAACGCATTTTGTATACCCCTACCCTATATATATGCTATATATATATGTAGCATCCCCTGATCTTCACTTTTAGTATAAAGCTTTAGAAAAGATTAAAAAAACTTTGAGACTTATGACCAAAAGTGACGTTGACTATGTCTTTTCATAATCTTTATTAGAATTCTTCTAACTATACCTCGATTATCCTTAAATTCTTACGTTTTATTAGAAATATCGAAATACGATAAAGTAATTTTTCTAACTAAAAGTCTCTCCGTGTATGACACATGAAAACCCTTATGAAATCCCATATGAAATCCTTTATAGAATCCTTTATGTATTCTCACATAGAAATTCATGTGGATTTTTATGTAGATATACACAAACTCAAATTCCCACATGAATTCCTGTTTCAAATCGTGTCCCAAATATACATGTGCTTTTACATGGGATCCCATGTGGATTCTTACGTGGGATCTGGGATTTTATACAGGTTTTTGTATAAGAACCCACGTAAGATCCCATGTAGGATCCCATGTGGGTATTTTTAATAGGGTAAGTAAGATTCTATGTAGGAAGTTTGGTATGATTCTATATAGGTAAATTTTTAAAAATTAAGTAAGATTTTATGTGGGAATTTTTCTACGATTCTATATAGGCAAATTTTTAATAATTACACAGGAAAAAAAAAGTCTGACTCCGTTTACACCTTAAATTCAGCCCATGTATTTCACATAAGTCTGTCCTTGTTTAACGGGGCTGACTCCGTTTACATCTTAAATTCAGCCTCAAAAATAGGCTGAAAGTAAAACTTTTTTTTTAGTGTGTATTAAGTAAGATTTTAACTAAGAATTTTTGTAAGATTTTATATTGGTAAGTATGGTGGAAATTGACAAAGGAAATTGACATAGGAAATTGACACCAAAATTATGTCAGAAAAGATGTAGGTAATCATATTGGAATCAACGTATATTTTTATCCAGTAACACGAATGCGCGTTCCTATATCAAGTCTCATAAAAAATCCTGTGCCAAATCCATATATGTGCTTTTTTATTGATTTCTACGTAGATTCTTACAATCATTCTAGGATTTTTTATAAATTTATAGTTAGTATTCTATATAAGATCTTATGTAGGATCCTACATAGGGATTTTCAGTAGGGATGAATGAGATAACTTGTGTTGAGTCCCAAAGTCTTCAGCTATGGAACTTCTAATACTATAGTGTGTACCTGTCACATATTATTCTATAAAGGAGTACTACACTGATTGCATAAATCATTTTCCCATTTTTCTCTGTGAAGTTCAGATTAAGTTTACTATTAAAAATTACTGTATTTTCCAAGACAAAAACTTGTAGAGTGGATGTGGTTATTAAAGTTGTGCTTCCAGAAGAATAGATTTACCTGCATATAAAATCCTTCTCCTCTGACAATAATAAAACTATTGGCTTTATCATCCGTTTGAAGAGCAAATAACCCAGCTGCAACAATGGCTAAGAATGCTAGAACAGAGAAACAATACTAGTTGAATTTATCTTTATAAATGAAAAAACTAATTTCTAAATATACAGTAGAACCTCATCATTTATCCAGCATTCGGTTAACTGATCTTCCGCGATATCGGAGCTACTGGAAACTGCATTATTCAAAGTGTATGTTCGGATAACGCGGAAAAACTCAGATAAAATATATTAGAGTACAGATGCTTCCTTTATTTTTTATACAATCTGTCCTTAACTTTTAGTACAAACAGTATTTATTTATTTACTTGTTTACAGCCTTAAGGCATTTACAAGCGGAGATTCTCAGTACCTTACGTAATTACGGATATAAATTACATTAAAAGAAGAAAAAAAAATTATACAATTATTAGATTAATTTACATTTAAATTGATGACGAGTGCATATTAAAATTTTAGAAAATTGAAATACAACACTATCGAATATGGTTTATTGATTGGATTGCATTCGGTTTAAATTTCGCTTTATTTTATGTTAAAACTTTTTTTATTTTACTATCTGTGATAGTTCTCATAATTCATATTCTTGTCCAGGGGATAAAACTGCATTGGCGCCGTGACACTTTGTGCATTCTCTCACGGAGACTGCATTTTTTTAACACTTGTAATATTTCTTAATTCGTCATCGTACACAAACTTTATTCTTGCTCACCAAAGGACCAAACACCACTCAAGACCAACATCAAATTCCACTAAAAAGTAACCCTTCATTTCAGCTCCTTGGTGGGAAAAATGCATGTAATGAAGCTGTGCTCAATAGAAAATCAGCTCTTCGTACATACAGACACACCTGCAACTTTTAAAAGTATATCCTTCTAAAAGCAGCAGAATGCAAAAAGCTGTTTCTTAATTTTAGAAGAGAATCTTTTAAAAATCAAATCATTCAAAAATGGATTCACTAGGTCTAGACAAATCAATTATGAAATTATTCGTAACTTCCCCAACAAAGCGAAATCTGTTCTCCTAGACATTTTCAATTGTATCCTATCAGCAGGAGTCTTTCCCTCATCATGGAATAATTTTCTAAGCATCTTTCTACATAAATCTTTCCCGGTAAGTTTTGACCAATTGCACTAGCTTCATGCTTATTTAAACTTCTTGAAAAAGTAATACAGAACAGAATCAACTGGTATTCAGAACACAACTTAATATTATACCCATCCCTATTCGGCTTTCGAAAATGCAAATGCTGTGGAGACAACTTAGTCATCTTGGCTACAGAAATATGGACCGGCTTTTGTAACAAAAAAAGCACAGCAGAACTTTTCTTAGACATCAAAAGCGCTTTCCACTAGAAAAACAAAGTTTAAATTTTAACCTGATTTTGGGGTAAATATTCGCTGCAATAAATTTTCACCCAAGTGAGGGCGCCACTTTCTATGTGAATTAGCATTGGTTAAAATTCCCCGCAACAAAATTTATACTATCTTTTTTTCTGTGTCCCCAGTGTCAGACCTGATGTTTTAGCTGAAGACATTTGTGACCTTGGCCGTTGCACACAAAAGCTGTTTTTCGAAGTCGACAGCTTATTTCCTAAAGGAAACCCAATTGGACTGCCACAAGGCAGCATCATTAATCCTGCCCTCTACTCAATTTATACTGGAGAACTTTCTTCTTGCATCCGTGTTAGAATTTTCTGACAATCTTGCGGTCATCAGTAGATCGCATAACCCAATAGAATGCATTCACTCTTTGCAAATTTGTATCAATTCCATCTCAAACTTCTTAAAAAACAAATTATGCAAATGTTTCCTTTTCTTTCATGAAAAATTATTTTGAATGCTTATTATACTAAATATTATTAATTACACATACTTGATAAAGTAGAAAGTGCAACTTTCCCTATAGTTGCCATATTATATGAAAGAATCATTCGTTTTGCTGACGATGCCATAGATAATTGAATGAGTGTTAAGCCTGTGATAAATGCAAGTAAAACTGAAGATCCAGCAGCGGCTAAACCAGAAACCCATACAGCATCTGGAAATTTAAAATAATATAATCAATTTTTTCTCTTTTCCTTTACTATATAATCGCTAGTTTTGTTAAACATCTCACCCAAATTGGGTGAACTTGTCGCCCAATTTGGATGAGATGTTTTCCTTATTCGCTATTAGAGTAAACAGGTAACTGACTCGACTATAATTGTAAGTATTATGCGACACGTCCACCCAAAATAAGAGCAAGCGGTTCACCTGTAGGGGAGAATGGGGTAGCCCCGAACACTTAAGCTTTTTGGTGAATAATTTGTGTTCATAGTTTTGGAATATTAATTAAATTTTTTTATATCAAACAGAAGGCTTCTTTCAATCTTTAACATAAATTCATTTGTAAAATAATCAAACCTTTTAAAAGAAAAATAAGGACAAATATGAGTATTAAAATCCCAACCTTCAACAATTTGTCGGGTAGTCTCGGACAAGCGTCAAAATATTTTATATTTTAATTATTGGACTTGATAGAGTATCATCAAATTGTGCGTAAACAATGAAAATAGACCACGTAATATAGAAATAAATTGAAAAATCTATTTAATATTTACAGAAAGTCAACAAAAAATAAGGTTTTATAAGACGTTCAATGTGACGCACATAAATTTTTTAAAGTGTCTGGACACTTTCAGGTTTTTAGAAAATTCAAGATTTTTAAATAAAGAAAATGAAAAAGTAAGTCAATATTTCAAAAATAAAAGTTACACTGTATTATACATATATCACTTGTAATTTGTTTCAATAGTAAAAACACATTATTATGTTAGAAATCAAGAGTGTCCGGGCGGGCTATTTCATATTCTTCCCTATTTAGCGCAACAGTTTTAAATTAGAATTCAACTACTCGACCAATGTTTTTTCAGTGCATAAATTCAACGAAAATGTCAATTTTATTTCGCCTATAACATAAATGTTAAAAGGCTTAATAAAGTAGGAATAATTTAAGTTCTTTCAAAAAATATGTAATTGACACTTTCAATGTTAAGGTCCGTAAACAATAATAACTTACACACTGGTTTAAATCTGGACACACCCTGGCCACATTTTTCACGACCATAAAGTAAATATTTGCATTGTCTCCAAGGTCCGAAGTACCCTCTTTCAGTTCCACTGCCAGCTAAAACAAGTAGACTTTAATGATAAAGTGAAATTTCAGTGTATTAGCTAAGAGTTTTATAGAGATGGGAAGACTCGTGGTATCTTTTATTTTTTCTTCAACTCTGAAAATGAACGTACGTAATGTAATATACACGTACACCATCCACGCAATCTAAGAACGGTCCAGTAATAATGACCAATTGAATTTACAGTAATAAGTTAGCAAAGTGTAGGGTAAAGTGCGGATAGATGCCCCCTTTCTCAGATCTCAAATATAATAATTATTGTAATAAATGATAATAACTTACCGCAGGGGGCGTCTAACTCTAATATATATGGCCAAATGCAGACCTTTCGTATTTTTGTTCTGATTAATTTATTATTTATTGTACATAGGTATTTGGTCCTTAAATATATTAATGATAAATCTATCCGCACTTTACCCTAAATATGCTCATACCACCCCACTCTACCCTAAGTTCCATAGGAAGGTATTGCGCAAAAGTATTTTTAAGAATGATTCATTTGTAATTTTAAAAGCTTACCTTGTAGGCTTATAGTGTAAATTTACTGCAACCTTACATCTTCGTAAATTGTACAAATATAATTCATAAATTTTAATAAAATTCTTGGCAAAATTTCAATTGAGGGCCTGGAACAGATAACTGCCTGCTACACATGGTTGAAAGGGACTATACCAGTCAGACAACAGTGAGCGCCTCTAGGCCTCTCACTGCTGTCTGACTGGTATATTCCTTTTCAGCCATGCGTAGCAGGCAGTTATCTCCGTTCCAGACCCTCAATTATTTTTAAAAAATTTCCTCAATTCTTAAATAAATAAATAAATTCACCCGTGTAGAAATCACCATGCTATGCCTAAAATGATTATTGGCCCTAGCTTGGACCTAACATGGCAACCCCTTTTTATATATCCTGGGCTGGTCCTAACTTGGTACTAGCTAGGAGATCCAGTTATGACTTAGAAAAATTTTTAGGAAAATAAAGTGTCAAAATTGATACATGAAAAACATGTAAAAATTGATAAATATTCTCAATTAATATTTATAAAATTAATTGATAATCATATTTGTTTAAACAATTTATTGTTTGACATAAATCAGAAAATTATACAAATACTATAAAATAAAGTTAATTTATTAATTTATTGATTCGGCAATTGTTTAAACAAATAATTGTTATTTACTAACTTTTTACACAATCAACCTAGAAATTAGCAGTTTTTTCTAATTTTGCAATAAGTAAATACTCAGATTAGTTAATTGCAAAATTTTAAAAGACTACAAGTGTCTAGACGCTTTATTGTCTTAAGAATTAATAAATAACAACAATTTTTTGTTTAAACAAATGCTGAATTGTTAAAATTATAAATTATCTTCATATTTCACTACTCAAGTGTAATAATCGCGAAGTTAGATAAAAAAACTGCAAATTTTTAAGTAATTTGTTACAAAAGTTAATAAAACAGCAAAATCTATTTATTTATTTAAACAGATACAGACTGCAATATAATTATCATTAGTAAAATATATGTCTAATTTCGTTCGCTGATTTTAAGTTTCGTTTAAGTTGGTGCTAAACACTAAGAGATATTGCAATTCGAATGTGGGCTGACCCACCCAGGTCCAACCCAGGACCTACCTGGGCTTCCTAGTTTCATTAGCAAAAATTTCTAAGTCCAAGTCTAAAAAATTTTTTGCACCAAAAAATTAATGCTTAAAATGATTTAGAATAATGAAAAACGTGTTTTTAACATTTTTTTTGACATTTTTTTAAAAAGTGGATCATCCGCTTAATTAATTAGGAAAAATTTCCAAGTCCAAAAGACGAATATTTTTTTTTAGACCAAGAAATTAATGTTAAAAATGATTGAGAACAATGAAAAACCTGTTTTTAACGAAAATGTATAGATATTTTTTTTCTTGATATAATATAAAAATATTAATTTTTGAATTTTTATATTTGGATATTATTTTATTATTATTGTTGTTGTTAAACTATTTTTTTTATTTATTATCGTGTAGTAGTGTCAATAATTACTATATTGAATCATCAAAAGCAAGTCCACAAGTCACTGACAATAAAAATTTTGATCTCAACTAGTTTCATTAGCATAGTGGTTAGGGCGTTAGTCTCGTAGTCCGTAGGTCGTAGGTTCGATTCCCGCGTGCGTTAGATTTTATTTACTTCTTAGGTTTGCGTTTATTCCGATTTTTCTGCATTGTATTCGTATAAGTATGCAATTTAATGATTATATATACTGTAAAATAATTTAATTAGCAAATTTCTAATTTTTTTATAATTTTTAATGTATATATTAGAGGAATATATATTAATCTCTACATATACTAACATTATTTATGAATTCGCTTTTGGTCATCATTTAATTAAAAAAAATAATAATTAATTAAAACTAATACTTATTATTAATAACACAGCCACACAAAAAAAAAAAAGTTCTGATCTGGGGGTCTCACTATGTAGACTTTATGTTTTTTGGGTCGCTGAATCCGAATCCGAGGTCCATTTAACCTCATCAGATCAGGATTTTGACATAACCTCAAAAAACCAATATGGCGGACACATTTTTGAAAAGTTCATTGGATTCGCTTCAAATTCGTTACTCGGGGGTTTTTGGGGTCGCTGATTACGAATTTGAAGTCTGATTTCAAAAATTCAAAATAGCGGATCCAATATGGCGGACACGTTTTTGAAAACTTCATCGGATTCGCTTGAAATTCGTTACTCTGGGGTTTTTGGGGTCGCTGATTACGAATCTGATGTCGGTTTTTCAAAATTCAAAATGGCGGATCCAATATGGCTGACACATACATATTGGATGCGCCATTTTGAATTTTTGAAATCTGACTTCAAATTCGTAATCAGCGACCCCAAAAACCCCCGAGTAACGAATTTCAAGCGAATCCGATGAATTTTTCAAAAACGTGTCCGCCATATTGGATCCGCCATTTTGAATTTTTGAAATCAGACTTCAAATTCGTAATCAGCGACCCCAAAAACTCCCGAGTAACAAATTTGAAGCGAATCCAATGAACTTTTCAAAAATGTGTCCGCCATATTGGTCTTTTGAGGTTATGTCAAAATCCTGATCTGATGGGGTTAAATGGACCTCGGATTCGGATTCAGCGACCCAAAAAACATAAAGTCTACATAGTGAGACCCCCAGATCAGAACTTTTTTTTTTTTTTGTGTGGCTGTGTAATTTAGGTTATTTCTTTAGCAAATATTATAAACTAATCAAAATTAAAATAAAGTATATAAATAAACTGGTCATAACTAGGCTCCCAAGTTAGGACCAGGCTAGAATCGCATCACCAGCCATTGTTGGTCCAACCTACACTGCCAACCTAGGACCAAGCTATTAACAGGGCAAAATAGGTAGGACCTGGCTAGGACCAATTTTCATTTTCCACACAGGCAATGAATTTTAATCGGTATCTACTATTCTAATAAAATTTTTCAAAAGAATTCAATTATTTAAAAAAAAATTTAATAAATTTCTACACAAACCTTTAATTATTTTTAAAAAAATAATAAAAATTTCACAGGAATTTCATTATTTACCAATTTTTTTATAAACTTCCCAATAATTCAATTATTTGCATAAATAATAAAACTTATTGCAGAATTTTAATTATTTTTAATACAATTTTAATCGAATTCGTCGAAAAATGTAAATATTTATAAATACTTTGGAAATATATTACCCTTGTAGGTACAAGTTAATACACAAATTTATAGGTCCAACCCCCCACTCCTGTAAAAATTGTCTAGTACCTACAAATTTTATCAGATTTTATGTTCTTGGTCTTAAATTACTAAAAGTTCTCTCAAAGTCGATTTTTGAATTTTTAATTGTTTATATCTCTTTCTTGGTACTCAAATTTAACAAATTACAATATTTTTTGAAAAAATCATGTTTATTTTTTTAGTTTTCCATTGCACATGATTGAAATCAATGTAAATTAGTCTAGTATGATCACCGGTCAAATAATAATGCATAATGCAATTTATTTAAATTGTTGCAAACAATGTTAATTAACAAATAACTTTGGTGTTTGGTCCTTCTTCATAAAAGAAATTTTTTTTTTGCAGACTAAATTTATGTTTATTTAAGTAATTAATGTCTATTTTGGTATAAAATTATTTTAAAATTAATAATTATCATTGTTATTATAACAATTATATGAATAATAATTAAGTTTCTTTTCTATTTGTAAACATTTTCGGCATTTTTTAAACTTTATTTAAATGTCTATATCATATGTAGATACATTCTTTCAAAAACTTAAAAATTTTATTAGCATAAACAATAACATTTATTATAAACAAATTATTTACTTTTTAAACAAATAAATGTCTTACTGCAAACACAATTTTTTCTTTTTTATTTTTTATATTTACTCTGATAAAAATAAACTACTCATAATGAACTGGAAATGTATCAAATAATTTATTTAATTTTTATAACGATTATAAGTTAACAAATATTTAACTTTATTCTTTTTTCACAGTCAAAAGTTATTTATTTATATACATTTAAATTTATACTGTTTTAACTGAAAAATTGTTTACTTCATTAAAAATCATTTCAGTGTTTATAATAATAATTAATATAATTTTTACAAAAAAAGAATAAATAATTATTAACTATTAAAAACAACACCAAACTTGCAAAAAATTGCAAAAAACTATTTATTTTAAAAAATTTTTGCATATGTAATTTTTTTTAAATCAATAAAATATTTTAAAATTACATAAAAAAACCTTTCGAAACCACTTTTTACTTTTTTTTAATCGAATATAATTTAAGTAGAAACTACAAATGTTTAAAAAAAAACGCATGTTCGAGTTTAAGCCGAAATTTCAACCCCCCCTACCATCTTGACAGAGGTAGGGTTGGATCTTTAAATTTGTGTATTAACTTACTGATACCTACTAGGGTAACATACTTCCAAAGTATAAAGAAAATTACGTTTTTCTACATCATTTTTCAAAGCTAAATCAATTGCAAATTGTTTATCAGATCAAATCAAAGAATTTTTTTAAATATAGACAAGTAATTGAATTTCGATTATTTGAAATTCCCGCTATATATCCCGTGCAAGAATGTAACTACTTGACCCCTATTAGGGCTCAGATCAGGACCACGCAGGATTTCAATTTTGAACTGGTAAAATATTTAATATTATTAATTAGATAAAAATAATATATTAATAAATAAAAATTGGTTATAAATTATCTTGAATAGGTCGACAACGACCATTATTAATGAAAAAATCTCATTATATTTTTTTCTGCACGGGTATTTACATAAATTTATGTAATTAATTTAATTAATAAAATATTAGCTTTCTTAAAAATAGCAATGTAATAATGTGCATAAGGTTGAGTACATAGCATTTTTCATTTATTTAGATAAAGTTTGTTACTTCCTCAATCTTGAGGAAGTGATATATATATATATATATATATATATATATATATATATATATATATATATATATATATATATATATATATATATATATATATATGTATGTACCCAATCTTGCATGTCAATGAAATAGAAGAAAGTTTACATCATAGAATCTGCAAGCTCGCGTAACCGGGTTTGTTGGACAAACTGTGCAGTTTTCAAGATAACTACAATCTTCTAAAAATATATTAATAAATGAGTGTAAAATAAATCATAATGGCAGTAATTTTCAATAGCAATTAACTTTAAGTTGGCAATAAATTTTATGTATATCAACTAAATTTTTGGTCTGTAAACTCTATAGGAATAAAAATACCAACATAATCTTGTTAAAAAATGAACTTTTGCTAAATTAAAATTTCTTGAAACATAAAACAAATTTTAAGCTTACAGTAATCAGATCATAAAAATGATATATTATATGCTTACAGGGAGTGGGTGCTACGAGTGTAGATTCTTTCACTTTTAATACATGAATGAAAATGGTCATCAAGTTCAATTCCTGTGAATAAGAAACATTACTTTTAATAATTCGTTTCACCTACCATCTGGATTTGAAAAATATCCCCAAGTTGGCAAAGCAGTCGCCGCTGATTGGAGAATTACTGCCAATAATGCTAAACCCAAAACATAAGTAGATATACGTGCAGCAAGTGCCCGTTTTTCTCCGAGACGTGGGTTGGTCGGTGTTGAGATCACGCTATTCACAGTATGTGGATCTGCCATTCTTCATACTATTATATGTATATACGTATATATTTGTAACTAGTACATCAGGATTGCACAAACGACCAAGTAATTCTAGTCACATACTTTTCTTAAACATTATATTTTTCTAAAGCACTTTCGTACATGCTTTATTAAATGGACGGAAAATATATCATGTTATTCAGTGAGCAACTTCATTTCACAGTCTCATTATTTCTTATTTTAGTCAACTTTTCTTAAATTGTTTACAATAAGTAAACTTGTGTCATCTGTCGAAGAATGTTAAGAAACGTTGACGAAACTCTTTTTTTCCCTTTCTCGGCTTAACAACGATTCGAGTTAGACATTTTTTCTACGTTGCAACATACTTTCGCCTTCAATAATACTTGTGCTTAATAACTCCATAATACTCAACATAATACACAATTTACTTTTTGTGACACATTTTTTATGTAATTACATTTGTGCGTGTTCATAAGCATGTATCATTTAAGCCAGATGACATATGTCTATGAATTAATTCTATAACGCTGCTTTTCGTCAATGGATATCTCATTTCACCTGCTTTTCTTTTATTACAAAATCTGATAAGCCAGAAACGACTTTTCGTTCCACATAGTTGTTTAAAATACTTTTTTCTTTCTCTGTATAATATTTTTATCTTATATACATGTAAATAAAGTATATTATTACATTCTGTACGTAGTTAAATTATGGAATACTTTTCTCATATAAATTGAATACAACTTCCTCCTGTACATTATGTTTAAAATAATTGGAATTTCACAAAAGTTTGTTGTGCTTCATGTCTTTCTTTAAATATTCTTGTCTTACTTTAATTATTTTCGATATGTTGAAATGGACTCCCTCTTCTTCATATTCTAATTTCTAACAGAAGACATATGGATGTACTTTGATAATAAATATTATTAACTGAATGCTAAATGTAAGCAATAAATATTGACAATTTCTTATCACTCTATTGAATTGTTTCTTTTTTGATTATTTGATAGGTAGCAGCAGACTTTTCAAGTGAAAGATGATGAGATTTTATTAGTAATTGATATTAGGAACGTACAGGTTGATGTGTAAAGAGAAAGACGAAGGTTAGGTCCGTTAAAACTAGACATGCTTCCTTAGTGTTTACAAACTTATACCGGCAGTCGTGATAGTCTGTTAAGCATGGCTGAAAATGTATAACGGAGTCTTCTACTCTTTCCTTTCATAGTCCTTCCTTTCATTTTAATTTCCAACTTTTAAATCCATTTCATCTCATTATCCAATTTCTTAAAGTCTGTTGTGAATACGAGTATTACTTATGCCTATACTATGTACATTTGCATGCAAGCAGTTGTAAAAATATTTGAAATATCAAAAAATAATCACTCATTAGAATTGCTGAAGGTTGCAGTATCACAGGGAATCACATTTTTATTGTTTGAAAATATATAGATTGTACGCAATTATATACATGATGTTTCGAAATGGAGAACGCACCTTTGCCACTAGTCACAGGAGAGGCTTTCGAAGCACAAGATCGAAACGATTGAGAAACACTTCTGACAAGGTCACTTTCTAATTTTAAAACTTTGGGTTCACTTGCTTTTTCACTGTTCATCACATTTTCCATATAATTAAGTATTTCATTTCACAATAAAAACCATAAGAAAAATAAGTTCACCAAACATTGTTTGTACCTGCGTGTTTGAGACAGTATGAAAAAGCGTGACATCACGAGTCTGCGCCTTGCACAGTACTAATGGGAATTGTTGACACTGACAAGCTATATTCAAGCCTTTATGCTTTCTATTCCACACATCAGTGACGAGGATCGCTCTACGCTCTTACTATATGAAAACCCACCTTCCAGTAGAGTGCACATCAGAGAAAAATGTTAATTTTATAATCACTCAAACTCAACATTTCATATAAAAACGAAACATGATTTCATTAAGTTATATACTACACATTAAGAAAAAAGGAAAAAAGGTGTGGTTGTATTTATGTAAACTCTACTCTTATAATTATATGTTAATGATGACATTAACTTTTCTTTCAATTATTATCACAAAACTACATTTTTTTGGCCCTGACTCTATTACCGATTAAAAAAGGAAATCGAGAAAAACATAATATTGCAAATAAATAAATTTAAAATCTATATTCAGAATTTTTTATTACACTCAAGTAACACGTAATATAAAATGCATATAAATTCAATAAGATGCATATCTAATGATTAAGCACGTGACATCTTTTTCCTTTTATTGGTAATTAAACATTCAATATTTACCTTTAATATAATGGAAAATAAAATATTTTCATAAAAGCACTCTTAAAATTTGCATTTTTTAATAAGTGCAATATTATACTTATTTATAATTTTTTGCTTTTATTATAGCTTCAACTTAATTTTTAATCGTTCACATTATTTTTCTCTTTTTTTGTCACATTTTGGACATTCGCATCACGGAATTCAGTGCAGTTTTCGAGTAGCCGAAAATGTTAAATGCTATGCATTTGAATCCAATCCCAAACAGCACGCAATATTACCTCCAATTATTACATATATTTGTAATATTACCTGTAATATTTCAGTAATCGTACTGTTATATCAAAAAGTCCGATGCATGGTAATATGACATGTAATATTACCTTAGTATTAAATGTAATATTACACGTGATAGTACTTGTTGAACTGAATTTTTTTAAAAGTAAGTAATGAACAATAAAAATAAAACCACAGTAAATTGAGGAGCTGGATCAGGGGCGAAGCCAGGAGGGGTTTGGGAGGTTCAACCCCCCCCCCCGAAATTTTGGAAAAACATATATTTTAAAGCCTAAATTTCTAATTTTATTCTGAGTACACCTCTCATCAAATTCCATAACCCCCCCCAAACTTTTTTTTGGCTACGCCCCTGAGCTGGATCGAAAAATCGGCTCTTCGCTCGGACCGCAAGCGCTATTATCAGTCGGGCAGCAGTGAGCGCCTCTGGGCCACTCACTCCTACCCGACTGGTATTAGCGCGTGTGGTCCGAGCGAAGAGCCGGTTCTTCGATCAAGCTCCTCAATTGTGAGGTAATAAAAAACGTTGCACATTAAATTAACACAAAAATGATTAAAATAATTAATTTCAGTGTTATTTTTTATTATGAATGAAATTTTACTTCAAATCAAAACCAAGTCAACAATTAATAACTTACTAACTTAATTACTGACTTACTTGCTAACTAACTAACTTATAGTTACTTACTAACTAATTAACATATGTTACTAACTGACTTACTTAGTTACTTACTAAGTTGCAGATTATTTTAATCCATTTTGGTGTCATTTTAACACCTCTCAATTTACTGTGACCTCATCAAAAAAAAAAAATTTTTTTTTAATTACAATGTAATATTATATCAATATCAATCGTGTAATTATACATACATATTACCTTGCAGCGGAAATTGCTACAAACTACACAGAAATCTCTTATATCGCCACAATTTAAAGATTTCTTGTTACTGGAAATGACAGCACGTTTTTTATTTAATGCTAAAAACATCAAAAAATAAACTGTCGTAAATGTTTAATAGATTTCATACCTAAATATAAACAAATTATGATAAAATAAAAAAAAAATGCAAGAAATTAAAAAAAACTGTACTTGACGTAATCTGAGTTTTTTCTTTTGTGGGACTTTTCTGTTTAGGATCTATTGTGTTTTCTGAAAAAGTAATCAGAAAATTTCACAGAAATATTACTAATATTACAAAAAGCATGTATAACTTTTAATTTCCATCATTCATTGTTTGTTAAAATTGTATAATAACTAACAAAAATTAACATAAGAACAATCTTTAATAAATATGCAAAAGAACAAATAATAAAATAAAAATAATAACAATAATAATAATAATAATAATAATAATAATAATAATAATAATAATAATAATAATAATAATAATAATAATAATAATAATAATAATAATAATGCTGGTAAGAATTATCTAACTAGAATTTGATTGGAACCCGACTAGTTTTTCTAGACTAGAGATTCTAGTTAGAATCTAGCAAGAGCCATACTAGAGATAGGGGCAAATGGTGAATTGCTATACGGGATGTAATTTAAGCGGAGGTGCTTCCAAGCTATCACGGCCGGGAGGTATGTGTATCCGATTGGAGTCCCCAAGGTCCAAGGTTCCGATCCCCATGGGCACGAGATTTTTCAACTCAAGTTTCAGGTTTTTCGTGTACAACATTCATTAATAATGTTAATACACTGCAAAAATAAGTGTCTTATTTGATATCTTAAAATAAGATGTAAGATGGAAAAATGGTATCTTACATCTTAAAATAAGATGTTTTCTAAAGTATCTTACTGATTTTTAAGATGTTTTATACGTCTTAGATATTTCTTCTATCTTAAAAAAGTAAGATACTTCTGTAAGTTTTTTAAAGTATCTTAAATTAAGATGTTTCTGTCTCAATAAGATGTTTAGCGATAAGATACTTGTGAATTGTAAGATGCGAAAAAATTTTAAGTTACTAAAAACTAAGATACATAAAATGTCTTACATATAAGCCCATAGTTAACCTCAAAACTTTTTTCCCGAAAAATATGCTGAAAATATGTACGAAGATGCTTTTAGTATCTTAAATTAAGATATTTTAAATGACTAAAAAGTGACTACAATAACATCTTAGAAATGACTACCAAAACATCTTAAATAAGATACTTCTTTTTGCAGTGTATGAATGAAGAATTCAATATTATAAATATGTTAAGTTGAAAAATAATAATTTTTAAAAGTCAACTAGAAAATTCTAGTCGGGGCCCTATCAACACACAGCTAGTTTTACTAACTAGTTCCCGACTTGATATTCTTGTCAGTACCCCATCTGCCGACCGTTATGAAAGTAATTGGGTTCTAACGATTTTCTCTAATCAGTTCCCCACTACAGATAGGGAATTCTGGCTAGGACCCCATAAAATTCCAATCTCAATTTCTGCATGGGACATTACTTATACTGCTCTCTAAATCTGAATATGTGAAAATTCACATATTTGTAAGTATTATAAGTCGTCTTCTCGATCAATAAGTGCATATACATATATATAAGTGAAATTTCACTCATAATAAGTGAAAAATTCACTTATTCATAAGTGTATATGCACGTATTGATCGAGAAGACGACTTATAACGTGTAATAGGGGAGAGTGGGGCAAAGGCGCTATGCGGGGCAAAGACGTTTTTTAAAATATCTCCTTTATTTTCTGTTTATTCCAATTGGTATTAAAAATTAAGTTGCAATGCAATGAGACCAATTGATTAAAAAAAGAAAAACCTAAAAATATCAAATATTTTAAGAAATATAACAAAAAAATTGTTTTGCAAAAATAAAATGATAATTTTACTGAACAAACTTTTATTTTTTAAAACATAAGTTTAAGTATTTAATTTTTAAAAACGTAACATGTAAATAAATTAAATATTTCTCTACACAACTGGCGTGGTGTTTTAGTTTAATTTTGTATCTAAATATTTTAAATTTAAAGTAAAAAAAAAGTTTGTTATGTGGGGCAAAGGCAATATTGAACATAATTTGGTTAAAAACAATTGAATATTCGAATTTTCTATGTATCAATTCACAATATAAGGTTAAAATCACAAAAAGTTTTTATTTTTTATTTAATAATAGTTTAATTCTTTTATTAATATGTCGTTAACCTTATGTTTCGTAAATATTATACTAATAAATATCACTTGTTAATTTTTTTAAGGCTTATCAATACTTTTTTTTAGAAATATAAGCGAAAACGTCGCTGCCCCAGCGTGTGGGGCAAAGGCATTTTTTGCTATCTTTACTATCTTACTAAACAGTGCAGTAGATGGCACTGTCTGTACCGTCAGTCCAAACCTAACGATTCTGTTTAGTAGATTTAACTGCCATGTCAGTAGAATCTACTACGCCCTTCTCTCCGTGTAATTTAAAAAATATACATCGATAAATGTAAACCTATACGGAGAGAAATTTATAGTAGTGGGTAACATAATTGTGGTTAGGGTGACCATCTTTAATGCTACGTATACAGACAGCTATCTAGATAGTCACCGTTACCCAGTGGGAAATTTCCAACCGGCGCGGATCCTCGCCTGTACCGACGCCGGAGTAGTGGTACTGGCTGGGAACCACCTGCCTACCGCCCGAGAACTGATATTCTACCAAAAGATGACTTGGCCAGGAGCTGGCTGGCCATCCGTCTCGGAACTGGCATTCTACCGCCCGGTAACCGGCCGCGAAGAGCCGTTCCGTGTATAATTCAACCGGCTGGGACCCGGCACTGTACCGACTGCGGATCTTTCATTTCCTAGCCAGATGTGCGCTGGCAATGCTGGCATTCTACCGCCTGACAACCGGCTCGCATCAAAATAATAATTTCAACAAATATCAATAAAAAAATAATAATTAATTGCAAAAGATAAATACTGATAACAATTCATTGATAGTTCACTTTACACATTTTTTTATACACTTAACGGTATTTTTTTATATTCACATTTGAAAAATCCTAACGCTTGGGGGTACGAACCTACGCCTAACCGAATATTTACGCACCGAAATCACGCACGCTAACCACTATGCTACGCTCGCATGGAACTCTCAAATCTTAAATGCTTTCAAGTCTCACTAGCTAAAATGAAAATTGTAAAATTACTACGCGGCAATAAACAATTTTCAAATACGGACTGATGTTATACCGGTATTTATGAATATTTTAATATTTCGTTTAAAAAGGAACTTGTTAAAATTGTTATT